ATATACTAGCATCAATGTGCAGACCATTGTTTTGCCTCTGCAACATTTTTGATAAACAAAAATAAGCTTTTATACAGACTAACTTCCAATGTCATGAAACCTTTCCTTGTACAAATGACAGGAAACACAAACACAGCTTTGTTTTTTTTTTCCTTCTTTTTTTTTTACTTTAACATTCACATATACACAGTTTACTTCTTCTTGGCCACACCAACAGTTCTTCCTCTTCTTCCTGTGGTCTTTGTGTGCTGACCTCTTACTCTCAGACTTAAATGAAAAACAATCAGAGACAATGATTCTAGGAAAGAATTATAAAATTTAACAAAGCAACACGTTTTAAAGCCTATTACTTTAGAAAGCAAAATTTCAAAACCCAAATCAACCCCAGTACACTATGCATTGCAACTGACCCCAGTAAATAAGGCAGAAAAAACAGGACTCTTTCTAACCCCTCCCAATCATTCTACATATATCTGAATAAACTTCAGCTAGTTTCATTTTAACATTCCCCCCCCCCCCCCCCCCCCAGAAATCCAATGAAGAAAGAGGAGTTGGCCTTTTTCTTATCAGTTAAGTAGCAGTCTGAACCAACATGTATCTGGTTACCATTAATCAAATTTAATTATCATTTTTCAGAAATTGATTATAATGAATCAAGAATCGAGCAGCCACAGCATACAAATCTTCACACAGTACAACTGATACACATCATTTTTACAGAGATCTGCAGATCTACTCAGTAGCTTACCCCCAGTAGTGACGGAGACCTCTGTGTGCTCGGATCTTCTTCAGTCTTTCCAGATCCTCACGGAGTTTGTTGTCCAGGGAGTTGGACATCACCTGGCTGTATTTACCATCCTTAATGTCCTTCTGTCTGTTAAGGAACCAGTCAGGGATTTTGTACTGTCTGGGATTCTGCATAATGGTGACAATTTTGTCAATCTGAAAAATAGATACAAGCTATATCAACACTTCCACAAAAAAGGAATTCCTTTCATTTTGGTATATATCTTAATTTTTTTTTTTTGCTACTGTGGTTGTGGAATCATTATATGTTCATTTTTCTTAATTTGGTACATGTAGATGCGTCTTACTAGGATACTTCAATTTTTAACCAAACTGAATATGCAAATATATTTTACATAAATATGTATTAACTTTTATCCTCATGAACCTTTAAACATTTAGTAATGCTTGAAAATTTGCCCCAACAAATTAAAACACTTACACAGAATTACTGTAAAGCTTTTCTCTGGTTTTCATTAAATATCACATTTCATACATGTATCTGGAGATGAGTATATAGTCCAAAATACAGTGAAATATTTCAAATTTTAATTGAAAGACATATAAATTGATGTTTCCATATCTCTTTACAAATAAATTGGAAAACTTGTGTACTACACAAGTAAAATTCTTTCTCATTAAAACTATTTTGCTTCATTACAATTGAGGCCAGTGCCAAAAATTAAGTGTAGATCCAGTGCAACTGACCTACATACAGAATACTAAAGAGTTCTTAAAGGTCTTCCTTAATTCTTTTTTTTTTTAATTCGAAATTTTCTCATCCCATCAATAATTTGATTGATTTAATTAATATCTTCAAATTCAATAAATTTTGAAAATGAAACATTGATTTTGGGAAAATTATTTTCTCCCTACCTACCTTTTTTAATTCTGAGTCAGGTGAGGGCAAGCCTCATCATTTTAAAGATGGCCTAACATGACAGTACCAGGGAGCCATTAGTCTCATTATATGGATCTTCAATTCAAACTTTGTATTTCGTAAATATAATTATCAAACATTTTAGTTTTGAAATGTACCTCCTCATCAGAGAGTTCTCCAGCTCTCTTTGTGATATCTACATCAGCTTTCTTGCAGACAACATGAGCATACCGTCTACCAATACCCTGCAATATACCATACAAATATAGATCTCTTTTTAAAAGAATTCCAATAAATATTACAGAAGTTATGAAAAGCCATGGGTATAAAATACATGCTATATCCTTTCATTGGTCAAGATTTTAAAGGACACTCATTTAAAGTGGGTTGTATGGAAAAAAAAATCATTAAAAAAATTATAAACCAATGTATCAATACTCAGCATCAAGAACATGTGTGTTTAATTTTCTACAGAATGAGCATTGGGATCGATCCTACATGTCAAAAGGTCACATGCAGGGTCATCCCAACAGAAGTACATGCAAAAGACCCCCCCCCCCCCCCCCCACACACACACACACCCACACACTACTTTTAGGATGCAATATTTCTCTCCTTTCCACCTTCCTTTTTTTCTTTGTCACCTTCTATTGAGTTTTCTCTTTCTAATGACACTTGTATTATGTACTGCCTATTAAGCCTGCCAAAGTTTGAAGGTATGGAAATCCAAAAAATGCTTCCATGAAAACCCTATACTTTTCACGTATCTGAGGATCTATAAAATTAAGACAGAAAAAAGGCAGAGCTTTGTAATTTTGACAACTGATAGAATACCATTTCCTCTTACAATTCATTCAAAATATGTTGTTATATCTCCCCTGGGCCCAGTGCAGGGGGTCAGAATCTCCATTCTGGCATGTTTGCACTAAGGCTGTACATGCAGAAAGTATATAGTGCAATGCAAAACATTTTCAGGATGAACTTTCTTCCTTATATGTAATAACCACATAAGATTTTCAAAATCATTATGAAAAAAAGGAAAAAAAGACCCCCAAGCCCCCACCCACCCCAGCATAAGGACAGAAGCTTATCTGAGGTAGGAACCGTAGGATGTTAGCCAGAAACAATCCGTAACAACATACAACTTTGTAACCTTGACCTTTGACATGAGAATCAATTGGAGTCATGTTTTCTTTAAAGAAAGCATGGAAGTGAATCTGCAAACTATTTTATACCATTAGAATTTGTGACCATGACTTTTGAACTTGAAATCAATAGTCAAAGGGATAGGAGTGAAACAGTTCACCGCGGTATCAATTCACCGCGGTATTTTTTCTCGGTTTGATACACAGTGCAAAATCTCTAATTTTCGGTTCGGTTCATTTTTGGGTCGGGATAGTTATTCAGTCGGGTTTGGCATAAGGTAAAACACATTACTTAGTATAAATAAGTATAGAAAACCTAAATTTTTGATGACTGATAGCTTGTAAAAAAATTTTGACAGTCAAATAATTTTAATCAATTTCTTCTAGTCAATTTGCAAATAAAATTCGTAAAATATGCGACTAGATTTAGAAAAAGAAAGCATAAAACAACGTTGAATTTGTTTCCTTCTATCAAAATGTATTGATCGAAAATAACCGAACCGAGACAAAATTATACAATACGTATCGAACCGTGAAGGAGGTGTATCGTTTCACCCCTACAAAGGGACCTATAAAATTTTATTGCAAAAGCTTAAGGAGCCAAGATATAACCTGGAAACAAGTGTTACAGACAGAATGACAAAAAGATGGATAGATAGATGGACAAGAGGCCAAAATTAATATCCCCTGCTTTCAGGGAAAGTGGGGGACAGCTATAATAAAACTTATTCAAAACAAGAACTTGGAATGAGTATCTTGTGAGACACATTCTACAAACAAAACTTTTGTGAAATGATTCTGCCAATGACCCTGTGAATCTAGATGCATTGGCATGATCTCAAAACATAGATGGTGATCATTCTAAATAAAATTTTCATACCTTGATAGCAGTCATAGCAAACATAACTTTTCTTCTTCCATCAATATTTGTATTGAGGATACGAAGAATGTGCTGAAACTTCTCTGGCACTATCAAAGCCTGCAAATATGAGAAATAGTATATCATGAAGCAACACAAACTCAACTTCTTGGAAAGAGAATATACAATATTTATTGAACAAACTGGCAAACCCATCTACATAGGTATTGGGTAATGGTTATATATTCCAGATGAGTAGCAAAGAAAGAAAAAATAAAACTTAAGTCCTGGGAAGCAAACCAATTATAATTTAGGTAGTTTCACAGCATCTTTAAGACGACTACTTAGACGAGCAATCAGCTAGAGTTTTGGACAATGATTTCAAACAGGGTTTTTGACAGTTGTATACAAAAGTTTCAAGAAGTGATGTGTGTGATTATATCTACTATGGCATTTAATTGAGTGATCTTAGAGTATACTTATGTACAGAGATTGAAATATAAGTTATGTGCAACTGGTTTGTCAGATGGTCAAAACTTTTACTCAAACTGTATAATTGGACATTTTGTAAATAAAAAGACATCATAATAAATTCGTAAAGAATATGAAAAAATGCTTATCTAGCTTGCGAGTTTAGTATATGTCAGCTTATGCATTCACGAAGCTTAATCCTTTCACCACAAATTATTTCAAAGGATAGGTGGGAAATTTTTATGCTATAAAACCTCTCAATCAAAAACAGACTGAAAAGGGAAACGACTGATCTAGTTTGAGAGTCATTCTTAGTTGAACATTATTAAAACGACCACCCTTATATAAAATATTGCTCCAAGACATATACTGCATAAAATGAGAATAAACTAATTGCAGATACGACTTTTGAGATTGAAAATGAACGTTTTCTTCGACAGTTCATGTTTTTACGACACAAGATAATCGATCAAAACAATCTATATCTAATATAAACGTATATCTTCTACAAGGAACATTTTTACATGAATAATGAAAGTTTAATTTTTATTTTGTAAGTCAACAGTGACTGATGATGAACGATTTATTTGTGTAGGTATAGTTTTCAACCAACCATGTTGATAATTCAGCGGAAAAGGCAAAATCATAGGTAACCTACAAAACCGTGAAACATTTCCGGATGACTCTGTAATCATAATTCAATAATATTTTTTTTTCAAAGAGATAAACTAAAATTTAAGTGAATAAATTCAAATAGAAAAAGTTTTTTTATTTATCTTAAAACTTAATTATAATATATATTATTTTGTTTCGGATCCATGCTAACTCGAGGTTTCATTCAATAAATACATTTACTTGTAGCACTTCCTGTTTTCAGAAAAACCTTCCAACATCGTGAACACGTGCGAGGAACTTTTAATTTTAACTATGTTTTCCTTACCGTTGCTGCGATAACAGTTATATTCTTGTTTTGAAAGGTATAGGTTAATTTAAGCATGGCACAATTGAATCAAAATTGAAATTTGGGCAGTAAATCGGTTGTTCTGGGATGTATATAAAAATTGTACTTCATTTTGACATAACATAAGTGTTGATTGGTAAAAGCTGTTAGAATGCTGGAATATTAAATTACATTTATCATGATAGTTTTCATACTGGAAAAATAATGGAAGGGAATTGATAAATCGATATACTAATAATTAATGGATACTATACAATAATCAGGTTGGGCACACCCCACCAAATGGTCATTTATCCCCCGTTTGGTGGACAATCTCCCATATCGGAGACGAATTTTACTGACCAAATGGTGGACTTCTTTATTCTATTCCAAATCTTCTTAAAATAAAGCAAAAGCGCATTTACTTAGGCATTGGGGAATTTTAGTGAACATATTCGTCGCACAATTAACATAGTTCGGTCGATTTCCCATGTGCAATTTCTCCATAACTTCCTAAAAACGATACCCATAGTTGTCCGTAACAGCCGAACTTCTTGATTACTCGATCAAAAAAAAATTGATTGTGTCTAGTAGGATAAAAATTCTATTTTATCCAGTGGTCTAACTCTTGATAAGTTAAGTTTCAATCGCTTTTTGGATCTTTGTCAATATTTATCTCTATAAAATCCCGTTAAACACGAGCTCCTCATTACTTTAGTGGTATGGTGGGCACTTATTGCTATAAAGTTAAATTTTTCTATACTTGAACGTAATATCTGTTGTTATTTTTCTTTTAGGATGAAGTTGCATATTCCATACGACCTTTTGTGGTTTAATATGTATATTACTGATGAATTTAATATACTTGATAAATAATTTTCAATAAAAGGTTTACAAAGTGATTTTTGCAATTATTCTTGTATTCGTTCGAAGTACATCGTTTTAAAACAATAATTATATCATAATCTAACTTCATTTACTATTTTTTTGGAGAACAAAGCTATTGCGTACAAAATAAAACGAAATAAAGGCGAAAACTTATTTTTCTTTTGATTTTCTAATTGAAAATTGACACTAATGTGCCTCTGTAGTAAAATCCGGCTTTTGACCAGGTTAAAAAAAGATCATCGTTTTTATTGGTTTGCATTATTTGATTGGTTGCCCGGATAATCGAAAGAGAAAGTAAAGAACATGATTGACAGGTGCAGCATCGTTGAAGAAGGAGGAAATGTTCTTTTTAAGTGAAAACGGAGAAAAGTTGTACTTGTTTACATACGTGACATTTTTTGTCAAATTTTTGAACGACACTGCGCAAAAAATTACACGTTGAATTTCCGATTTTTTTCACTCAAAACACCGATAAATATCTATATTTTATATCACATGGTTTAAAATTATGCGCCATTCCACGCCATTCTATGGAATTGAACACAACCATTTTTCTCTCCCAAATGGTCAGTAAAATTCGTCTCCGATATGGGAGATTGTCCACCAAACGGGGGATAAATGACCATTTGGTGGGGTGTGCCCAACCTGATAATTAATGGACAATAACTGTGCAAATATTGGAAGACTATTTAAAAAATAAAATGCTCTCTTTGGTTGTAAGTACGGGAAATAATGTTGCAGCTGATGCAGAAAAATGCATATGTAATTTTTTCTGCAATAGCTGCAACATTAATTCCCATACTAACAAACAAAGAAAGACATTTTATTGTTTTATATTTATATCTGTGCAAATAATCTTTTAAAGTAGGATTAAGTATATTAAATATTGTATTATTGATATGTACGTAATTGTACGTTTCATTGATGGAAGAGCCATTACTCAATAAACATGTACAGGTGGTATGCTTAGCAGTGTTAACTGAATGATAAACGACAATGGTTTCTTCAACAAATAATGGGAGAAAATATTCAGTGGATGTAAATATTCTGTTTTATAGATCAAAAGATGAAGTCAAAGAAGAAAGAAAATGCAGTTGTATATGAGAATGAAACTACATGTATGAACACAGGACCAGAAGCTGACTTTGAATTTTTTAAGAGAGTTCTTGATACAATTCCACCAGCATCCTTTTTTTCTGAGGACACAAAAGAAAAACTTTTGCAGGAGTCAGATGAAAGTGAATCAGAGTCAGATGAAGTAGATGGTATTCAATATTTTACATGTATCAGCGTTTTTTTTTTCGTATATAACTGGTACCGATAAACGGTACCATTCCCCATGCCAAAAAACGTTAATTTTTCCCAATTTTGAGACTAAAAATTCCCAATTCCACTACCAAGCAACAGACTATGATGACGTCATATTTTTTTTATATGAAACATTGTACAAGTTGACTAATTGTTTCACATCCGCTTAAATCGAAAGTAGATATTAGTCGTAATATGGCGGGATCTGTGTAGACAGGGTAGTGTCATACATTTTGACAAATTGAAAGCATGAAAATGCGAAAATAAGGGGACATTGAAAAACAACAAATACTTGTTGTTTATTCTTTAAAACACGGAGTAATAGGTAATGAGGTTGGAATAAACGCAGAATACGTTTCATGTGTTTAAATGACAGAAAATTCTCCTTTGTTCTACTTAGATGCTATTTTTTCCAATTGATGCGGTACCGGACCCTTTCCCAATGGGTAGAAAAATATTGCTGTGTATATTTCAATGATAGTTAGAAATCACATGTTGAATCATTAGAATTGTATAATATTAAAAAAAGATATTTGGGTTTTATTGTTGTAATCAATAAGAGTCAAAATAATTTATTTTGTTGGGTATGTCTATTCCTTAGTCATTAATATATTTGACGACATGGCCTTTAAAGGTGAGCATTGTATTACTCATGAGAAATTTTTATAATCACTTTATACAGAACCTCCTTCATAAATTTAAAATCATAATTGAACTGGAAAATTAGAGGTCTGGTGCACTCAGTATAGACTATGAGGTATCATGACATATCATTCTTCATACTTTTTTTTGTATGTCAGTTGCATTTCTAGAAGAGATTGTAAAGAGAGAGTGCAAGTATTTAAAAATGGGCATATTTTTTTTAAAAGTTATTTTCTTTGGAATTCTCTGCAACAACTAAATCTTTGTCACCTTTATGTTTTGTTTCCCATTATCAATGTCTGCAAGGGGAATTTCTGTTCTTACATGTAAGTATATAGAGCTCACTCTGCTCACTATGAATTCTTCTTTTATCAAATCATTGATGATGCATCTAGTGATGCATAAAACAAGTGATACTGTGTATACTGTTTGTGACAGACTGTATAGTCTGAATAGCCATCAGGTGAAGAATTTTGAATTTGATGCAGGTGAAAGCTCAACACTGATTAAACATGATTCAAAAAATTATGATATTTTTTCTAATATACAGTTGAAATTCATTGCATCAGACATAGATATTTTGAATACTTAGACATGAAGTGAGTTTATATTCCTAACTTTAATATGAATTTGAGTCTCATTATTGTTATCTGGAACCTTCAGTTATCCAGGTTTTGATATTCCTCAGTTATCTAGAAAGTTTTGACAGTCCCTCAGTTATCCAGAATGTTTTGACAATCCCTCAGTTATCTAGAAGGTTTTTACAGTCCCTCAGTTATCTACAACTTTTAGGCCAAATAAAAAAATATGTGTGGTTCCGGTTACCCGACCGTCCCTATTTTATACCCCCGACCCTAAACTTTTTTCCGGCAATTTTCATATTTTTTCCAGAATTTTCTCCGATTTCCATCATTGGCTCCGATATTAGTTTTAGTTTCAGCAATGGCGGCCTCCTTGCAAAACATCACTTCAACACATAGTGCAAGTTTTTAATAGTTTTAAATCCTAAGCAAGCTAGCATGTAGGTGTCCCCTACCAATGTTGACTAGTATATTATCACACCACATCTAAATGCCACTTGCAAAGCAGTGATAGGTATTATTTAGAGAAATTAAGAAAATAATTTTGTAAAAAAAAAAAAAAATACCTACCTTCCTACCCTAATTTTTTTTGGAGGCGTAACCGGAACCACACATATTTTTTTGTTTGGCCTTAACAGTCTCTCAGTTACCTAGAAGGTTTTGATTAGTCCTTGATTATCTAAAAGTTTCTGACAGGCTCTCAGTTATCTAAAACTTTCAACACACTTTATCTATCTTAAAGCTTTTGACACTCTGATTTTGACAGTCCGTTTACTGTATACTGTTTACTGTACTTTAAAATGTGGGCTTTATATTTTAGCGGCTTTGGCATGGATAATGATGCGCTAATTCATGAATACCATTAATAATTACAATAAACGGCGCGGACATGTGTAGCGCTAATTCATGATTATGCCAACCACTCAATACCCAGTGATTGTGCTAAATTTTGAATACATCAATTTATGTACACGTACAGTAATTTGATATGTTGATGTTTGACTCTTTATCCCCTGCCATTGTGTATGTGAGAGGAGTTCTAGGAAAAGTGCACATTCTGCTTTACAAACAAGTTTTGATACTACTTGACTATGAAGTCAATCTAACTAAAATTAGATGTTCTGAATCTGCTACTGCTTCTGAAACATCTAACAACATCCCATTCGGGGTCACAGCAACTTTACCTTTCAACATAAATAAACATGAAAATTTTGGCCCGTCAGATTCAAGCTTCTGTATATGATCATAGGCACTCCCCAGCTTAATTGTAAAAAAAAACATATCTACTATACTATAAACATAACAAGGCATGAAACTAGCCTCCATGTTGGATTCCGCTTAGGGGCACCTTGTTATGTTTATAGTATAGTAGATATGTTTTTTTTTACAATTAAGCTGGGGAGTGCCTATGTATATGATTCTAAAAATAGTTCAATTGCTACATCCTAACATTTCCGATGATCTGTATTTCTGATATTCAGTAGTTTGTCTTTCATCAATTTAAGTTAATTTTGTAAAAACTGAATTCATTTTAATTAGATTGACTATAAAGTCTGTCACAGAATTAAATCTTTCTGGTAAAGATTGTTGGTGATTGCAGTGTTTTCTTGTAGGTTAGAATTTACCGGTAATTAAAATTTGTTTTCAAAGTTTTAATAGCCAGAAACAGTGTCTTCAATTCATTCAGATTAAAAAATCAAAAAACATTCTGATTCAGAAATTTAGTTGCATTTTATGGGGACAATCTTATCAGTATACAGTGATTTTCTCTTCAGAAATATTTTCTTATTAGAAAAGTGAACTACAATACATGTATATATATATATATATGTTCTTCTTGACTTGCAGGATTCATTGTTTGTTTAAATATTTCAGGTGAAGATGTAAAAAAGAGGAAAAAAGAACAGAGATCTAAAGGGGTGAAGAAACAGAAGTTAAATCCCCTGCAAATTAAAACTGTTTCTCAATTACAGTTTGAATCCCAATCAGCTGAAGAGGAGGAGCCATGTATGTAGAGATATGGGTTTTTTAAAGCTTATCTAAGCTATAAGGTCAAGTTATTTTTTTGTCCCCTATATTCGCTGTATGCAGGGGATATTAATTTGGGTCTGTCTTTCTGTCCATCTGTCTGTCTGTGTAATGCTTTAGATTCTGGACGATATCTCAACAACAACAAAAAATCCTTAAGCTTTTGTAATGAAATTTTATATCATAACTCCCTATGACTTAAAGGAGACCCCTAACAATTTTAAAGTCAAAAGGTCAAAGGTCAAAGGTCAAGGTCAGAAATTCACATATTGCATGAAATGGTTTCAAGTTGATAAATTTAGTTCTCTGTTTAGCTTTTGTAAAGAAATTTTTATATATTTTAACTCCTTTTGACTTAGAGAAGACCCCTATTAATTTTTAGCTCACCAGAGCTGAAAGCTCAAGTGAGCTTTTCTGATCACATTTTGTCCGTCGTCTGTCTAGCTGTCTGTCCGTCTGTCCATCAGTCTGTAAACTTTGCACATTTTCGACTTCTTCTCCAGAACCACTGGGCCAATTTCAACCAAACTTGCTACAAAGCATCCTTGGGTGAAGGGAATTCAATTTTTTTCAAATGAAGGGCCATGCCCTCTTCCAAGGGGAGATAATTAAGAATTGGTGAAAATTTGGTGTCATCTTTTAAAAATCTTCTTCTCAAGAACCATTGGGCCAGAAAAATTGAAACTTTGAAGAAACCTTCATTACATAGTGTAGATTCAATTTTGTACAAATCATGACCCCCCGAGGGTAGGGTGGGGCTACAATGGGGGATCAAAGTTTTACATAGGAATATGTAGGAAAATTCTTTAAAAAATCTTCTTCTCAAGAACAACATAGCCACAATTAATCATATTGATACGGAATCATCCTCAGGTAGTGTAGATTCAAGTTTGTTCAAATCATGACCCCCGGGGGTAGGGAGGGGCCACAATGGGGGATCAGAGTTTTACATAGGAATATATAGGAAAAATCTTGAAAAATCTTCTTCTCAAAAACAACAAAGCCACAATTAGTCATATTGATATGGAAGCATCCCCAAGTATTGTAGATTCAGGTTTGTTCAAGGCATCCTCCGGTAGTAGGGTGGGGCCATAATGGGTGATCAAAGTTTTACAAAAGAACATAAATAGAAAATATCTTTAAAAATCTTTTTTTTCAAGAACAACAAAGCCATGGTTAGTCATATTGATACGGAAGCATCTTCAGGTAGTGTAGATTCAAGTTTGTTCAAATCATGACCCCCCTCCCCCAGGGTAGGGTGGCAGACATCTTTAAAATTCCATTTTCTAGAACAGCAAAGCCATGATTAGTTATTTTAAGATAGAAGCATCCTCAGAAAGTTTAGATTCAATTTCATTCAAAACATGGCACCTAGGGGTAGGCCAAGGGTATGCATAGAACAGGCGATCAAAGCTTTACATATGAATATATAGAAGAAATCTGCTGACGAAGAACAGCAGGGCCATATTGACTCAGGTGAGCGTTGTGGCCCATGGGCCTCTTGTTAGTCAAAAGGCCAAAGGTCAAGGTCAGAAATTAATATATTGGTTAAGTAGTTTTCAGATGATATTTTTAGATCTCTTTGAGTCTTTGCAATGAAACTTAAGGGGAAGAATATTTCCAACTGAAGGAAAACCTCTATTGATTTTAAGGGCAAAAGGTGAAAGCCATGGTTAATTGTTCTTTTTCTCTCTCCATTTGCCTCTTATATTATCCTAAAGTGGGGGACATAAAATCCCTGAATTAGCTTGTTCTGATCAAAGCTTAATTCTGTTATTTTTAACTTTTACATTTTTATCTTCTTTTTAAAAATCACAAAACCAATCTCAAACAGTTGGCAAATAGAATCCTTAGTTGTTGGGAATTTATATCTATTCAAATAAATGAACAAATTCTCTTCCAAGGGAAGATTGTTCAAATTAATGAATAACAATTGTCAGCTTTGTCTGAAGATTCTAGACATTCAGTCACATTATACATAACTGAATTTAAATGCTTTATTATACAATACAGATTTATATATGTTGAAATTGCAACCCTTGGAACCAGGGAGAGTAGGCTCGAAGATTTACATACTGTAGGAAAATTCCTAAAAATATTTTTTTCTCCAAAAAAATCAATGCTGTATCTGTCAAATTTATATGCAAGAATCATATCATCCATGTTAAACTTTGTTCAGTTTATGATGCTTGGAGCTTGAATGGGGCCACAGGAAAGGTTCCCATTTTAACATAGGACTATTATAAAAAAAAATCATGAAATTCATGTTTTCCAGAATGGCAAAGCTTTGATTAGTTTAGTTATGAAAGTATTATCATACAGTGCAAATTTTAATTTTGTTCAAATCCTGCCTCTTTGGGATAGCCCATTTTTCAGATCAGCAAGACATAACAAGCATCTCAGTGTAATGTTAGGGTGCGGCATAAGTAGGGAATCATACATAGAAATATTGTACCGTATATGAAAAAAAAAAATTAATTAAAAAAATTTCTCCAGATCAACAAATTTAAAATTTTCTCTACATTTATACAAGTACTGTACCAGTATGCCTATACTATGTAGACTAAGACAAAGTGAGCAAGATGACTTAGTTGAGTGCTGTGGCTCATAGGCCTCTCAATACCAGACAGATTGACACAGTTTGGTAGATTTAAGTTCAACATGAATTGTAGATATTAGAAAAATCTTGATTATTCAGTCAGAAGATGGATTTAAATGTAGCATTATGTATGTAAATAATTACAGATAGCAAAATTAAAGAGAAAAACAAACACAAACACAAAGGAAAAAGCAACAAGAAATCTGATGGAGGGGAAGGAACTCCAGATGTTAGTAAGGCAGCAAGGTTAGAAGCTCTTAGGCAGAAAATGGTGGAAATGCGAAAGCTAAGCAGTGAGTTATTTTAAATTATATCAAACTAATAAATCAAAAATCTTAGGTTTGAATGCTCAAAAATTTGTAATCTGATAGTAGATGGCATGAAAATTGACAATTAACTACTGTCGAGTATTTTCCAGTAATTCCAGTTTTTATAGTGCAAAGTACATTGTATTTGTTAATATGTTTTACTTTAAGTGATTCTTTCACTCTTTGTCAGAAATTATATGAAAAAGCATTATTTTAATAGTTCTGCAGGATCATGTCACGTGATACAATCATGGTAGCTGACACTGTTCAATAACTGTTGATACAATTTTTTTTTACCAGAGGAAAGAAAATTAACTCCGACAGAATTACAAGAAAAGAAAAGACTCCGAAGAAAAGAAAGCAAATTAAAAAGTAAAGTCAAGCGCAAGAAGAATAAAAACCCTGTGTTAAAAGCTAGTGGTCCCGTGAATGGTGATGTTGTGACCGGTTACAAATCCCCGGAGCGTCCATCAGTGATGGACAAGGGTGGTAAACTTGTGTTTAGTAAATTTGACTTCACAAAGAATGATGAGAAGGAAAAACATAAAAATTCTCTACATGGGAAAGACTTTAAGAGACTCCTAGAAAATATTGAAAAGAGGAAATCAAAGGTGGAGAATATGAAGGAAAAAGATGCAGAAAAAGCAAAGAAAATGGAGCAAAAGAATGCTTGGCAAAGTGTCATGCTCCGGGCAGAAGGAGAGAAGGTTAAGGACGATCCTGCTTTGTTAAAGAAAGCCTTGAAAAAGAAGGAGAAAATGAAAGAGAGAAAGAAGGCAAAGTGGACAGAGAGACAAGATGCTGTGAATAAAAAGATGGAAAAGAGACAGGAAAAAAGACAGAAAAATATACAAAGCAGGAAGCAGAGCAAGAAGGACAAGAAAATAAAATTGGCGAAAAAGAAAGGCAGGATGGTGCCAGGGTTTTAACTCTGTATATTGATTATTTTCCTGGCCTTTTTTAAAATTCTATTATGAAGACTGTTATAAATTTGAATGAAGTCAAATGAAGACATGCTTACTTGTTATGTATCAAGTGCCCATTCCCACTAACATTTTGTAGAAGCAGTGAATTTTTGAAGAAAAAAAAAATGTTGCTAAATGTGTAAACATTAAACTTGCTTCACAAAATGTTTACAATTTTTATCAATGTGTTAGTGACTCTACACAAAACTTATTTTTGTATTTACATTCATTTGCAAGTGTATAGTTATTTCTCATTACTGGTACATTGAATGTCAATCTTCAGGATTCTCATGAATGTATGCAGTTACATGTATCAAGAATGTTCATTATTGCTATTTTAAAAAAAAAAAAAGATTTTACACAAGCCTTGTATAGATCTCTTAGGTGATTGTGATGAGCTTTCTAGCAAAACTTTCAAAGTGCAAGTTTTGAATGAATTACTAAACAACTTAATAAAATGCAGATTGAGATAAAACATATTCAGTGTACATGTATCATGTATCTAGAATAAGATTTTCTTCAGTGAAGTAAACACATGGAAATACAAGAATGGGTTAATATTTGAAGCCATCAAAAGGAAATGTGTGCATTAATATAAAGCTTAACAAGGTTAAGTATGTTTTTGTTTTAGCTGAATTGATATGTTGGTGATTTAGGCACAGTCTATATTTTGCTAATTCATATCTTCAATGTCAAAATAAATAATACTCAAATTCACAAATAATGAAAAATAAGAACACACTGATAACACTTATTCATGATTGCACTGAACAGTCTTTGACTTGTAGATGACCTAATTTTCAAGTGACATCATGGCACACAAATGGGAAAATTGACAAACATGGAATTTTTGCATGATCTGTGCAAATTTTGTTCAATTCCTGAAAGTATTAAGTTTCAGGTTTTGGAACCTAAAAATCTACTTTTATGGAGAAAATTTTTTTTTTGTATGGCCCAAGACAAAAATACTGCTTTACTTCTTCCTCCTTATTGTTTAGTAAAACCAGAGTGAAAATAAACAAAGGACATTTACTTGAAATATATTTATATTCCTCAACCCCATTTTACAGAAGGAATTACTAAATTTTGATGCAAAATAGTTTACAAGAAAGAAACTTTTTAAAACAACTGAATCTAGTGCAGGTGATATACACTGTACTACTTTGAAAGTTGGTAATGAAAGAGAAGATTCAAAATATAGATGCATGAAAACATTTTGCTTTATCGGAATATTAGGAGCTTCTAGGGGCCAAAGTTGAATGGCAAAAAAACTGTTATGTCCATATCAGGCATGCTTTGAAAATGTCTCCATTTATATAAGTGTTTGAATATTTACAGTGCAGTTTATTTCTTACTATTTAACTGAATAATCAATGAAACACAAAAAATTTTCATTCGAGAGAGAGAGAGAGAAAAAAAGATCTTCATTCTTGCAAAAAACAAAACAAAAAAAACAAAAAAAAAACATCAAAAAAGCTCATTTAATAACAGTCGGAATATGTTTTCCTTATGATTCAGTTAGCTTCTATACACTGTTTTTAGAGATACATCTTAAATAACCGCGTATGTCCTTTTGGGGGGGGGGGGGGCTTAAATATAAATAACCGTGTATGTCCGGGGGGGAGGGGGGGGGGGTTAAAGAGGTCTTCACACATACTACATGTATTTATAAATGTATGATGTCTCAGAGGTAACATGAATATGAATGTCGAGTATTGCAACGACTTAATCAATGACGCATGTTTTGATGACATGTAAAGTTCCACGTGGAATTCTAAATTTAGTAAGATGTTTATTCCGGAAATTAATTTCCTAATTATTTATGTGGAGTATTGAGGAAGATTCACATAACATTTTTTTTTTCATATTTAAGGAAGATATAACTAATTGCATTAATGCAAGGCTGTCTTGCATAAATAAGCGGAATCTTGGATAACAGGATTTTGTATCTTTTTTTTCACTATTCCTGAAAAACAGTTTGGTTTTAAATTTAGTCACGACCAGAAGATAAAATCCACGAAATCCAAGAGGGAGTGAACGATTATCGGATAGCTACTAAATTAAAGATAGGATTCAGTTCATTACCATCTAAAGGTACTGTATATTATATGTTATTTCTATTATTGACATTTATCAATTAACGATACAGTACTATTCGAAGAAAGTGAGGCCTTAGTTTATCTCTACAGCTACATAAGCTAGTTGGCCCGAATTTCCTTTAAAAGAAAATCTAGACACTATCAAAATCTGGGTAAGATTGAGGTATAATGGGAGTGTTAATATACATGTATACATTTGATTTCATGTTTCACCAATGAAGTCGTACATAACCGTATTATGTTTTGTGTTTGGTGACTTATTTTTTAATACAGGGAATTAATTACACAGGGAAATAAATAAAAGGTTGTATAATTTATCATTATGTATACACACACTCCCTTGTCCCCAGACCCACAGGGGCTAGTAACATACTATGATTTTATGGGAACCAATCATGGTTACGTAAACCTTCAATTTACGGCGATACTTTAGTAAATTACGCAATTTAATTAAAATTAGATGTTCCGAATCCGCTACCGCTTCTCAAACATCTAACAACATCCCATTAGGGGTCACGTCAGAGCGACCTTTCGATTACCCAATGAAATTGCCGTCTCTGAAATCTTGACTGATAGTTCGGATGCGTTTCTTTTTTTACTGCCACACCTAAACGCCCGAGGGGTTTCGTAGTAAACAAAATATGCACGGTAAAGACCGTGCTATATATAAACGTGACATGCGGGATATAAAGATGTATACATGTAGTTTGTGCATTTTCGTTTGCATTATTCAGGTAAGAATGCCAAATTGGCAGACTATACGTTCAATTTATACCAAAATTACTTTAATTCAACGTAAAACAGTCTACTGAGCATTAATAATGTAAAGATGTAGCCGTGGAACTAATTTTAGGATCGTATACAGAAGGTTGAATCTGATTTGCCAAAATTTTTATGTTTATTCCTAATCGAAAGGTCGCTCTGACGTGACCCCTAATTGGATGTTGTTAGATGTTTGAGAAGCGGTAGCGGATTCGGAACATCTAATTTTAATTAGATTGGTAAATTACGGTGATCCTTTAAGCTGGGAAATGCATATAATAAGAGAAATAATACCTGAAGCGAGCGACAAAAAAGTGTCGCCATAAATCGGAGGTTTTTACAATGCATGGATCTGTAGCTCTCTGGTTTGTCTGTCTGAATTTTCTCAACCACAGAGCTACAGTTCTGCAGCTAGTAAAGGGTTCTCAAGTTATTGAGCAATTAATATCTTCCTATGTCTAGTTTGGCCTATGACCTTTGACCTTGTGACCTCAAATCAACAAAGGTAATCCACTCCAGGGGTATTAGTGTACCAAGTTTGATGGCTGTCAAGCAAAGTAATAAAACATCAACATTCACTTTAAATAGAGAGGAAAAACATTTGACAAACAGTAACAAAACATTAAAAGTAAACAAAGGTGCTGCAAAGATTTTCATAAAGATAACTTGATAGTAAAAGGTGAGATTGAGATTTTGATCTTAAAATTAAGCTTGGAAGGAATGTACTACAAAGCTTTGATTTGATATTACTGGAAACCACATATTACAAGTACATTGTAAATAAATATATCTTTATACATGTTCTATGTGTATGATCATACTTAATCTATATATCATGCACAACATTAAGTTCTTTGCTCTTTTACAACTCCCTTGCATTTGAATAGTGAATATCCATGAAAGTCTGGATATTTTTGAAGAGCCAGCATAGACATATATCTGGAATGCACAAAATCTACAATGAGAGAAAAAGTATCATTTTAGATCTGACAGCATATTTACCAGTATACACCAATTGCAAAACAACAGGCATGGATGTATTGAATTAGTTTATTGCTCTCAGTTGACATGAACCAAAATACTGTTTTTCTACATTAATTGTATCACATAACATCCTCTTTTGACAAAGTAACATTGTCATTTTTCTTAAGGATGAAGTGAAATTGCACTCAGCCTCTGAATGACTTCATTGATTGTAAAGATTGATACAGGGCAGTTGTAGAGGGGTTTTTTTTGGTATTGATTATACAGTAACACCAGTCATAGAATATTCTGGTCTTCATCTGATTGAGTTGATTCTGGGCTTATTATCACATGTTACATCAATTTTAGATGTGACACAATGACCTTTTTGCATTGTTTTTGAGAACCAACATGATGAAGAGGAAAATAATGTGAAAATACTGTCATATGCTATCACACACATGGTAAACATTTGAAAATAGAAATTATTGGTTATGTATTTGATCTGATCTCAAGTTAAAAAAAAAAAATAAGTGTTTGATGAGATGACTATGTTAGATAATTTCCTGATTCACGCATAACCAAAAATAGGTCAATCTCCTGTTTAGTGCCAGAATTATGTAGATTAAATAAATGTCAAAAATAAGTAGAGTTATATAAGGAGATTTTTTCTGTAGCTCTATCAGTTCCAATTATTAATGCTATATAAAGTAGTATTCCTGTTGGCATTTATATTGTTCAAAAAGTATAATGCTTGTTTCTTGGTCGAGTAGACAATGTTGCATTTTTTTCTGACACTATATGCCTGGTAGGTATATAAAGAAAAAAAAATCAATTGATTGAAGTGGTGTATATTTTGCCCATAGTATCAGTATCTGGTCAGACACTTAGTATAATTTAGATTTTATGAAGCAGATACCAGTATTCACATCATGATGTGGTTTAGTAAAGATCCAATTTATTGGATTCAGAGTGATTTTATATGATTTTATCTATTGGTGTTGATTTACCATCGTCTATTGTCTGAAAATTTCCAAATCTGTTGACACAGCTTTCATGAGTATCCAATCTTCTGTAAATGTTTATATTGACTTAATTACATTTCTGAATATGTAGGTATATTTGCTACCATTACAGCACATTCTGTACTGGTATTGATTGTCAACTTGTTAAGTGGACTATATGTTGGCGTATTCATTGGCGGGACTGGTACATTGGTCTTTATGTGTATGGGATATCAGTTGGAGACCATTTTATACTTTGGGATGTCATCAATCTCATGCTGTGGGATGTCATCTTTCACTAGGGAATTCCCAGTCCTCATTAGCAAGAGGAAAATCAATAAAATTACCAGATTTTATGAAATATACGACATCTCTATTTGATTGACCCTGGAACTTGTTGTTTTCTTTCCCCAAATTGCGTAAGACTGAAATGGCTTAAAAAATACATCAAACTGTCTAACTGTGACAAAAAGTAATAAGTTTTGCACAAATCCAGGGAATTCTGATGTAGTGTGCTTGATACATTGTGGCATGAAATCAATAAACAGCAACAGGTTTTTGATTCTGTCTTTGAGTCAATTCTTTACCGTAATCAATAGAAACTTTGGCTTTGTAAATTCAAATTGGAAGCTTGTCTTTGTAACTATTTTGAACATTAGAGCTTTAATTTATTTTGTTTGTAACTCCAGATGGCAATGAAAGCAGGGAAATGTCCGACGGATGAATTGTCCACTACAAATTATGCTATCACCTCTCCTCATGACATAGATGACCAACAATGCAGGTACATGTATATATTTTTCCTTTTATATTTTTAGCTTTAAGTTACCCAGAGATAAAATTTAACATTTTTTAGCACCTATTTTCTTTAACTGCTGAATTTATAAAGACTTAAAGAAATAATTTTAATTGAAGTTACTATATGGCAATGCCTATATTCTGCTAAAACTACAGTATGTGTGCACCCCTTCCCCCCTTTTTTTGGCAGTTCCAACAGAGATAGAAACTATGGCTAAAATGTGTTTACTTTTAAATACTAGCTAAAGTAAAGCAGAGTTAGAAACTGAAAAAAATATTTTTATGTTTTTTTTAATTAAAATTTATGCCTTTGACATTGAATTTGGGGACATGTGTTTGTCTAATTCTCTTGACCACATATTTAAACCCACAAGGTCAAAGTTTTTGGAGGTGATATGTTAAGGCCCTCTGTTTATAAACTAATCTGATAAAATTAGACTGACACCTTGACTATTGGATAAAACGGAACCCACTATAATACAAATTTTTGGAGACTAACAAATCCCCACTCATGAAATATGTATCTCATGGATATAGAATTCTCATAGTTTTTATTATTCTTAATTTAGACATGTAGAAATTTACACCTCTCCACATATGAAGTTTGTATTCTCTGTGAAGAACTGTGATCGCATGCAGCAAGGCTATGTGGGGTTTAACTTGATGCAAGTAAGTTTTCTGGAGTATTTTATCAGGTATTTTTATTATTTTATTTTCATTTTTTCTCCTTTCTAGAATTATAAATGAATAATTCCTTAATATAACAATAAATATGCAGAAGTTTTGTTTCTAAATGACATCCTATGCCTGATAATAGATGTCAGGCATTTTTCATTCTTAAAGGGTTTTTTTTTTCTTTTTCAGAGAAGATGGGCAAATATTTCACTGAATCAAGAGTTAACAGTAAAAACTTATAAATTCAATCCCAAAACAGACACAATAGGCACCATTGTAGTGGAGGTGGACTTCCTCCAGAAGAAAAAGTAAGAGGATTTGTTCATTACTTGTATAAATATCAAATATTTTAAATAATCTCTTTATTTCTTGTTGATGATATGACTATTTCTTTAAAAGATAACATAGGGTAATTATAATTTTAAATTCAATAACTGTGTGGGTAAATTTTGTTTTTACATGCTGTTCTTGCAGCGCTAATTCAGATCCACATGACACAGACAAAATGGCAGCCGAGTTTCTGATGCAGTTCAATAACATGGCCTTCACAGAGGGTCAGAGTTTGGCTTTTCAATTTGCTGACAAAAAATTACTGGTCCTCACTGTCAAAGAGATAGAAGGTACTACAGTCTAATTTCTTTATCTGCATTTAATAATTGTTTAATACTGTAAACCAACTATTATTCGCATCATCTTTTATTCGCAAATCGTCAGTTTGAAATCAATCAGTGACAATTAATTTTCGTGACTGAGGAAACATTCTCTACAAATACAAAGCAAAATAATTGGTTCGCAGCGACTAATATTCGCGAGTTGAAGTAGGACGCTGAACTCGCGGATATTTCTCGCACACGAATTAAAGTTAGCTTACAGTAAATGGTTACCAAGGTGAAAGAGAAATTTTTGAATTATGGAGAAAAGAAAGTGACTTCCGATCGTACATTTTGATTGTATGATGACACTTTTCCTTGTTTTTTTCCTAGTGAAAAGATGCCCAGCACTATTATATTTGAGTGATACAAGAAAATTGAAATCTAAAATGTTTTAAAAAGTGTGAGATATTGAAAATTATTTTGCAGTAATTGATTTTACCAAAATGAAAGAGGGGGGCACTGGAACTTCAAAGAGGGTAAGATTTTTTTTTTTAAGATTTGATTGGGTAATTTGTGTGGAACAAATTTTGCAATTCTGTGTCCATTTTGTAGAGCACTTTATTCATAGTCTGCTGTTGTGATGTCATGTATATTGTTGAGTAAAATTGTATATTTTTTTCCCAGGCACATTTAGGTTTGTTGACACCTAACACAACAGTGGTGTTTGAGAAAGCAGATACATCCACAATTAATTTAACAGGAAAGTCTAAAAGGTGAGTATACAATGCACTGATAAAAAAAATTGTTCCAACTTATGAAATATTTATGGATTTTTTCTGATTTATGCAAATTTTTCATCTTTACATGTCACATGCATGTACATGTATATAGTGTGCAAAAATTTACATGCATATCAATCTGAAAACATAGCATTTTTCTCTTGCATTTTTTTGCATACAAGTCAGTGAAGAAAGTTTACCTAAATTTGATGAATATTTACTGTTTTTCTTTAGTAAGCAGGCCTTTACCTCCATAATCAATCCTGACTGGGACTTCAATAAGATGGGTATTGGCGGTCTGGATAAAGAATTCTCAGCAATATTTAGGAGAGCTTTTGCCTCTCGAGTTTTCCCACCAGAAGTTATAGAACAGTTAGGTAAGTTGTCTTCCTGATGTCCCCTCTGACTTTTCCATTGTTATTTCCAGAAATTTGACCTTGATGGCAAGTATACTTAAAAAAACACATTGCATCGAATCTAAAATATTTAATGTAAACTCATATGAATCTATATACATTTTTTATCCATCTATATTTTTTATACTATAAAATCACTTATTTTCGTGGGTTCAAATTATTATGGTTAAAGAAAAAATTACTGGTTAGAGGGGATTTCTTTTTGTGGTTACAGTAGAAACTATATAGTGCAGTATGAAATTTTGCGGAGGATAGGAATTCATGGGTCTCTTCATACCATGAAAACAATGAAAATCCCCCCCCCCCCCCCCCCCCCCGCAAGACTTAGTGATTTCACAGTATTTCAATAATTGAAATACACTTGTGTTGCATTCTGTCATCGGCATGATAACATAGGAATTGGCTGCAGGAAAGGCCATAATTTAATTTCACAAATTGTGAAGAATGTGATGAGGTTTTTTTTTCTCTCCTTAAGTACATGTATTTAAAATTTGATTTTAATTTTTCTGAAGTACAAATTCAAGCATAATTTAAATGTAATTTTTTTTTTTTAGGAATGAAGCATGTGAAAGGTATTCTACTTTTTGGTCCCCCAGGAACTGGAAAAACTTTAATGGCAAGGTACTGATTAAAAGCTTCCTTTCACAAAGTGTATTTTAAAGAGATTTTATAGAAAAAAAATCTAATTCTTCTCATGAAAAAAAGTTTATGTCCTATTGGCAAACTTCACTTATCTTACATGGGCTGAATGTTAACGTTTAAATTTATATATTGTGCATTTGTGTAAGTATGAAAAATTCACATGTATATGTATAATACTTATTAGATTTTTATCTTGACTCTAAATGTATTCCATTCATATGAATTTGACAGACAAATTGGAAAGATGTTAAATGCCAGAGAACCTAAGATTATAAATGGACCACAGATTCTAGATAAATATGTCGGAGAGTCTGAGAAAAACATCAGAATGCTGTTTGCAGATGCCGAAGAAGAAGAACAAAGGGTAGGAAATTTGAAAACTCCATTTATGAGTAAGCAAAATTTTGAACTGAAATATCTTTCAGTAATAATTTTAAGTTTCCTTTTGCAGTGTGGTCCTCACAGTGGTCTACACATCATCATTTTTGATGAGATAGATGCCATTTGTAAATCCAGAGGGTCTGTGGTAAGTTGAATTGTTTCATATGTTTTGTAAAGTCTTTTAGGTTCACTTGATTTTTCTTCTAAAGAAATACTGTGTATACAATTATTTTTTCCTTCATGATGATTTTCACACTAAATGAATTTAATGGGATTTTTTTACATGTTAAATTCAAGATTTTATATGCAGATCTTGAATTGTTTTTTTAATCTGCTTTCACTGCAGTTTTAATTAATTGATTTCTCTGTCTGCAATAAGCAGTGAGATTGGAAGTGCAAAAGCTGTAAACTGTATCTGAAACTTGAAATCTCTTGACATTGAAATGTGGATCTTATTTGATGACAGGCTGGAAACACAGGGGTTCATGACACAGTGGTAAATCAGTTGTTGTCAAAGATTGATGGTGTTAATCAGCTGAACAACATCCTTGTTATAGGTAAAACAACATCAACAAGAGAAAAAAAAAGTTTTTTTTTTTTTTAAAAGTACCATCATCAGTTAAAGAATCATTTCAAATATGATATTTCAATAGCTCATATTTATATACTAGTATTTTAAATATTTCAGGAATGACCAACAGGAAAGATATGATAGATGAAGCTTTAATAAGACCAGGCAGATTAGAAGTTCAGATGGAAATTGGTTTGTGATTCTTGTAATAATTGATAATATTTTAAGAACTGCACCATAGAGTTTTTATTACTACAAACAATAGCGGAATTTCTAGCAATATTTGTTTCAATTTAATGACAAAAACAAAAATCCTTTTGTCACACAGGTTTACCAGATGAACAGGGCAGAGTACAAATTTTAAATATTCACACATCTACAATGAGAGAAAACGGAAAGCTGTCCCCAGATGTTGATATAGAGGAGCTGGCTGCCATGACTAAGAACTTTAGTGGAGCCGAGATTGAAGGCTTGGTAAAGGCAGCACAGTCCACAGCCATGAACCGACTGATCAAAGCTACCAGCAAGGTGGAGGTGGATCCAGACGCCGTGGAGAAACTACTGATCACAAGGAAGGACTTCATGCATGCTCTGGAATACGACTGCACACCTGTAAGTGACAAGTTTATAATTGGAAGAAAAATTGTCTGAAAAATTTTGTTTAATTTTCAAAGATACATGTATTTGTTCTATGCAGCAATGCTGAAAGGTTAATTTTGTATTGTATATTACATGTACCTAAATGTGGAGAACTGAAAACAAATAATTTGCTCTGAAGAAATTTTTGAACACATCAAACTAAGTATTTTTGAGATTTTCCCTAAAAGTGTTATTTCATTTTGATAGATAATTATGTACGTTATACATATTTGAAGTTCAAAATATTTCTTGTGATTTAGGCATTTGGAAGTAGTAAGAAAGAGTTTGAGAAATATATATCCAATGGAATCATTACTTGGGGGGATCCTGTTCACAGAGTGTTGGAGGATGGGGATCTACTGATATCACAGGCGAAAACTAGTACTACCACACCTCTAGTCACAGTACTTGTGGAAGGTAGGTATTCAAAGGGAGCAAATTTACTGTAAAATGATTTGAAATCACTCATTGTCTTATCAAGTGAATACTGTCATTTTCATTGAAATTTGGGTTTTCTGGCTTTAATTTGTTTATTTCTTAAATTAATTTCACCACTTTGTTATATTGTTGGCTTTATTTTGGCCCCGTCGGCCCCTAAAAAAAACTTTCTGTTGGAGTACTGAACATTCAATAGGACACATCCAGTTTCTTTTTGTATAGAGGAGGTCAAATCTTTGATAACAAGTACTCTGGAAGTTTTATTGGTGTATTTTACTTATAGGTCCACCAAACAGTGGGAAAACGTCCCTTGCTGCACAGATAGCCAAAAACTCTGACTTCCCATTCATCAAGGTGATCAGTGCAGAGAACATGATTGGTTTTACAGAACCTGCTAAATGTCAGGCAATAAAGAAGGTAAACTCCTAAATAAAATCAATATTGACTCTTTGAGTTGATGGTAGCATAGTCAGCTAAACTTTGCATTCGGTTCTTAGAAATGCTATGCAAATAAAAAGAATATGAATGTTATTGTTATAGTCATTGAAGTAAATGCTGTGTTATACAGCAAAAAAGTTAAAGCTTACAATCGTGTATTAAAAGTATGTTATTATGATGTGAAAACAGAAAATGTGATTCAGGAAAAAGTGCATCTTAAAATTTATTGAACATTTATTTACTTGAATGAACATTTAAATTCTTATCTTTGGTGCACTTATTTATAGATGTTTGATGATGCATACAAATCTCCACTAAGCTGTATCATTGTTGATGACATTGAAAGACTTTTAGGTATGTCTTTTTATAAAAACTATTTCTGGCAAGTGAAGAGAAATTTCACTAGAACAAGTTTATTCTCACCAGATAACTGGTAATAGAATTCATATTCATATTTATGATTTCAGACTATGTTCCCATTGGTCCACGATTTTCTAATCTAGTCCTGCAGGCTCTGTTGGTGCTCCTAAAGAAAGCCCCACCATCGGTAATTATTCATTATTCCTATAAAAGTACTTATAAAGATGTAAAAGCAGATGGTACATGTACATATAGTGGCAGGGATGGGATGGTCAGTAATATACTGTGGAATCATTTAAATCCAAGTCAATGTTTGTGGGCAAGCAAAATTGTATTGGTTCGTGGGGATGTGATTTCACGACAGCTCATTTATTTGGTAGAATCTGTAAATCAGTATGTTGACAAAATAACCGTTTGAGGGGTAAGGTATGACCATGAAATCCACAAACATTGGTTCCCCATGATTATTCCACTGTAATACAATGTATTAACTGTTGTATTTACACTGTCATAGTATATCTTCTGTGAATAACTTGGCCACCTGTATCAATGTACCCTTGTGATATTATACATGTTGTTTGGTAATTTAGGGTCATAAACTTTTGGTGATTGGAACTTCAAGTAGGAAAGATGTTCTCCAGGAAATGGATATGGCACAAACATTCGGGACAATTATACATGCCTCCAATATCTCCAGTAGTGAACATCTAATGGCAGTCCTGGAGAATGTGGATGCCTTCAACAGCAATGAACTGGAAATTCTCAAAAGGAAAACCAGTGGAAAGAGGTATACAGCAGTAACTCACCCCAAAAAAAAACTTTTACATGTGAATATTATTAATAATGTTTTGGAAAACATTGTCAATTTAAAGGAATTCCATACAATGATTGGGAGAGATCTAACATCGGTATTCTTGCTTGCTGCTGCATTCATTTTCCTATCTCAATAATTTTTTTAAAATCAAATTTAATAATATATAGCCATTTTTTTTTTATATAAAAATCCTGCTTATGTTGAATGTTAGAAATCAGATGAATTTAAATAAAATTTCTTTGTTTTCTACAGGTTGTGGATTGGTATAAAGAAATTGCTAGTTCTTATAGAAATGGCCAGACAGGTGAGCACTGATTAGAATTTAAAGTGAACAATATTTATATACATGCATGTACATATGAAAGCACCAATACCAAGGAAACAGATTCACTCATTGCTCCAAATGGGAAAATCTTTAATGATACAAATTTTAAATTCTATTTCTGAGAAGCTTGTATATATATGTACATTACATTATTATTATCCATGATAATGCATGAATTGGAATGACATATTCATTTGACATACTAGGATTCATATGTGCCACAGTCACTTAAAAATATATTGGCACAGTGTCCTTTCTAATTAACACTTTTCAGTATTAAAAGTTTGATAAATATTACAGTGTTAAGAATAGATAAAGAAAGAATGTAACTTCAGTGGTAATAAACTTGCAAAGTGTGGATTAGAAAATCAAAAATTTAAACAAGTTACAAATTGGGTTTCTCAGTTATCCATCACAGGCTTGGAATGGTGTGAGGATTTATAGGCAAACGTTAATACTTGTGAACAATATTCGCAAAGCAGTTTATAAAAAAGCATAAACTGTTCCAACCAAGATGATATTAGTATAACTTGGGTAGCAATTGATTTTATTCCTTATAATTTAATTTAATCATTAAGTGTACAAATTATGACAATTTTCTTTTTCAAAAATGCCTTCAAATTGTACAAATTTTAAATGTAATGTCAACCAGATTTATACATTTTTCAACACAGGTTATTTAAATGATTTTTTTTTGTATTCAATCAAATGGCATTTTACAACCTGAATTAAATTAAATTGTACATGTATTATCATAAGAAACATGAAATTATACAACAGAGCTACAGTTCACAAAGAAGATGATTTATAAATTATTCATGAATGAAATGGAAAGTGCCATCAATATCTTATTGATTTTCTTGTTTTGCATGATTGGCACACACACAAAATAAAATGAATCACAATTTGGAAATCTATCTGTGAACAAATGTTCATTAAGGGTACAGAAATGTCTTACACTATATAATGCAGCAATAGAAGTTTCTTGAGCAAAATACATTCATGGTTTGTTTTGCATTCATTAGACTTAACAAAGATTGGTCTTATAATTGCTTTGCATCGATCATGAGATAAAACTGCAGTAAAGTTTGGATCAAGGGGTTAACGAATATATTAAATTCTGTTTCCAGTTTTCAAATGAATGAACAGTTTCACTTTTAGAAAGACAGCTCTTTTCCAAATTAAATGAACTGTATCTTGTCAATGAAACATAATTTGACAAGTGAAATTTATTTCCATTGACAAATGTTGTTGATACTTTTCAGATTGACGAGTCACATAGAATCCCCAAGTTTCTGTGTGTTTTGGAAGAGGAGGGTGGACTAGAGATGACTGTTTAGAATATACTTTATTATTATTTATAAATATTGTGATAGATTTAATGAAAAATGTTGTTGCTGCTTATGAAGTGCATAATTGTTATCTTTTCAGAATCTAAACCTACAGTCATGTTTAGTAACTTTAGTGAAGTTTAGTTATTTATATGTCTCGGTACATTAAAATGACAGTCATATGCACATATTCTTAGAAATGAATGTTCAGAAATTAGAACTACTTGTACTATTGGTGTGAAGCAGATATTAAAAATAGTGTTGAAAATACAGCATGAAGATTAAAAGCATGCTGCTAAATGTCATTGACAGGGAATAATTGTGAACATAGCAGATGTTTATAACAAAAGCTGATTTGTGACTTTTTGTTGTGTTCATATTGAATATAGAAAGTGTTTCTGATTGGAGCAAACTTATTTCATTAAAGATTTGTCAGCAGGAATGATTCCTGGTTTCTCACAAATCCAACTTTGTTACTATTAAAACATTGAATTATAAATTTATTCAATGTTCTCTCAAAGTGCAATAGAAGCCATTTTCTTGTCTGGCTACAGTTTGGTGAAATAAGTGTTAGACTTTTGCTGTTATGCAGTTGAAGGTTATTGAGAATTATTTTAAAAAAAAATCACATTAAATGCATACATTGTGTAATTTCTTAAGTTTATTAGAAATGGAGCTATATTAGCTTGTTTGATTTCTCTCTCTCTTTTTTTTTCTTTTTTTTTTTACAAATTGTATTGAACATTCCCCTTAAATATGCATCTTGAATATGTTGATATTATAAATTTTTAAAACTTTGTTTTTGAGATTATGTTAAATAGGAAATTCAAAGGAAATAAAAATGAGAAGAAAATGCTCATTATATATTCATTTGAAAATGATGAGGTGCATTCAACTAGCTCCTTTTTAGGTTACCTGCGTCACTTGGATGACTTATTGCTCTGTTTTTGTCCATTATCATATATTGGTTGTAAACTTTTAAACATTTGCAGCTTCTCATATACTGCATAACCATGCAATTTCAACCAATTTTGGTATAAACCATCTATGGTTTAAGGAGAACATAACTTCTGAATTTCTCTACCTCTGCCTCCCCAGAGCCTGAGGGGTGGGTCCAAACAATCAAGATTAATGCATCTTCAAAAATATTCTTTTTACTCATGGATGACAAACCAGTCAAACTGTTGACATGATTATTCTGAGCATTGAGCCCTCTACCAAAATTGTGAAATTCATTGCCCCAGGGTCTGGGGTTTTGGTGTTAAGATAGGGCCCCATTGATACATAGTGAAAGTCCATGAATTTAAAAATCTTCCCCGCTCCTGGGTATTTAGCAGAGAAACTAAGTGCATGGTTATGGTGGGAAAGGGTGACTCTACATAAATTGTGCAATGTAACGGTTTATGATGTTAGGATGGAGCTCTATTGATCATACAGTGAAAGTGCATTTATTCTTTGAATATCTTCTCTGCTTCTGGGTATTTAATAGAAAAAAAACTTGGTGCATGGTCTTCATGAGCAAGGATGTCTCTACCTTAATTGTGAAATTCATGATCCCCTGAATCAGGTATTTTGGTGTTAGGTTGGGCTTTATTGTTCATAAAGTGAAAATGAATTAATTTTTTAAAAATCTTCTTGTCTGTTCCTGAGACAAACCAAGTACATAGTTGTTGTAATGAGCAAGGATGCTTTCACCTGAGTTGTGGAATTCATGACCAGTGGGGCAGGGGTTCTGGTTTTAAGAGGAGGAATTTATTGATCATGTGTAGATTTGACGGAAGTTATTCCCACAAGTGCATGATTATTATGATAATTTTAAAATCGCTATGGATGATGTAATTCATATGTCATTGTATAAAAGAATTATAGAAAAAAAATTAATGTATTATATAAAAGTACTTTTATAGTTTTAAATGGTAAAGTAGACTAGGCTTGTAAATATAGTACAACAAATAAACGATATACAAAAAATATTACTATTTTGTGCTGAAAATATTATTTAGAGACAGGACAGGTTAAGGATTTTGTTCAGTACTCGTTTCATGCTGATACACCACAGTGTCTATTAACAAAAAAAGTTGTTGCAGTATGCATGTACCAAACTCTGTTGTTTGAGCAACATACTCTCTGCTATCGGTTTATTTTGCTTTATTATATAACATTGCTATTCTATGGATCCCCTACATGTAGAGTTGTATTATATTCAGGTAACCATTAAGGCTCTTGGTCTTCTTGTTCAATAATAGTATTCACAGTCCTGACACTAAAATCGGGGATATAGAGGGTCTAAAACAGTCTTTAAGATATGCTTCTTTTTATTATTTCTCGGCTTTAGGAAAATGACCTTGACCTTTGACTTGGTATTACAAGCTATCCGTTTTCTAATTCTAATGACTATTTATTACGACAAGGTAATGGTTTATCTACATGTGTACCCCCTCCCTCAAAAACAACAGCGATATAGGATATTTCTCTAAACCTCAATCCAGACCATAAATACAAAATTTCAAAATACTCCAGTAGAGACTCAAAAGAAACTTTTTGGTTTTGGGTTCCCATAGACCCATAAGGAAATAACAAATTTATCAGCGAAAACAACAACTTTTTTGGCTAATAATTTTATACAAATAAACAAAGAAATAAAAGTTACTTTTGTCTTTTTTAAAGTTCTTCAGATGTTTATCATTTAAATTAAGTTTACCTGCAGTGTTATGATATTTTGCTGACACGCATTCGTCTTCTGTTTTGTTCATAGAATTTATAAATTTCAATTTTTTATTTAGAATTTATTAATCTTGAAAAGGAGCGATGATTCAGTAGCATTAATTCTCTGCTTGCATTGCATATGAATAATTTCATTCATTGAAGAATAGGGCCTAAAATACCCCCCACACCAATTACAGCACGTACAAAAAAATCATTCATTTGTCCACAATTTTCTCGAATCTTTGGTAAATTGAGAACGTTTACATGTAGTTTTTCCTTCTCGTAAGAAAATTCAGTCCCTGTCTAGTGCAGAAATGCCTGATTTAATTAAGAAGGTAAATTCGGGAATTATTTTGCGTCGGCCATGTTTTGACATGCAGTTATAAAACCTTCTCGAACAAGAGGCCCATGGGCCACATCGCTCACCTGAGCACAATGACTAGAAAGTTTACATGGGGCTGGGGGAGGGGGTGACTTGAATTTTAAACTACCTGAGGATGCTTCCCTATCAATATGACAAATCATGGCTTTGCTGTTATTGAGAAGTATATTCCTATGTAAAACTTTGATCCCCCATTGTGACGACACCCTACCCCTGGGGGTCATGATTTGAACAAACTTGAATCTACAATACCTGATAATGCTTCCATATCAATATGACTAAATATGGCTTTCTGTTCTTGAGAAGAAGATTTTTAAAGTTTATTCCTATATATTCCTATGTGAAACTTTGATCCCCATTCATGGCCCCACCCTACCCCCAGGGGTCATGATTTGAGCAAATTTGAATGTATACTACCTGAGAATGCTTATATATCAATATGACTAAATAAGGCTTAGTTGTTCTTGAGAAGAAGATTTTAAAAGTTTTTTCCTATATATTCCTATGTAAAACTTTGATCCCCCATTGTGACCCCACCCTACCCCCGGGGGTCATGAGTTGAACAAATTTGAATCTACAATACTTGAGGATGCTTAATTATCAATATGACTAAACAAGGCTTTGCTGTTCTTCAGAAGAAGATTTTTTTCCTATATATTTCGATTCTATGTAAAACTTTGATCCCCCATTGTGACCCCACCCTTCCCCAGGGGGTCGTGATTTGAACAAGCTTGAATCTACAATACCTGAGGATGCTTCCATATCAATATGACATCTCATGGCTTTGCTGTTCTTGAGAAAAAGGTTTTTAAAGATTTTTTTCCTTTATACTCCTATGTAAAACTTTGATCCCCCATTGTGACCCCACCCTACCCCCAGGGGTCACGTTTTTGAACAAATTTGAATCTACACTACCTGACAATGCTTCCATATCAATATGGCTAAACAAGGCTTTGTTGTTCTTGAGAAGAAGATTTTAAAAGTTTTTTTCCTGTATATTCCTATGTAAAACCTTGATCCCCCATTGTGGCCCCTCCCTAACCCCAGGGGTCATGATTTGAACAAATTTGAATCTACACTACCTGACAATGCTTCCATATCAATATGACTAAACAAGGCTTTGCTGTTCTTGAGAAGAGGATTTTTAAAGTTTTTTCCTTTATATTCCTATGTAAAACTTTGATCCCGCGTTGTGACCCCACCCTACCCCCGGGGGTCATGATTTGAACAAATTTGAATCTACACTACCTGAGGATGCTTACATATCAATATGACAAATCATGGCTTTGCTGTTCTTGAGAAGATTTTTAAAGTTTTTTCCCTATATATTCCTATGTAAAACCTTTATTCCCCATTGTGGCCCCACCCTACCCCCAGAGGTATATAAATTCATAGCATTAAAAATAGCAGTCTGATTAAAATCAAACATTCCACTAGCTCTTTTATTCTGATGGTCGCGTGGAAGCGGGACCATCAGATTATAGGAGCTAGTGAACTGTGGAAGGTTTGATTAAAGTGCACTTTCAGAGCGCTTCACAACCTACTTCACGAGTTTGCGTTTATTTCATAAATGCTTTATGTTCGTTCGAGTGAAACGAATAAGAACATAATGGTTAATTTTAAATATTTACTCAAATGTCATGTTGTAAATTTTGTATTTACTGCCACTCGGTAATTTCAAAATTTACAACATGACACAAATTTTAATCCAAATTTTTCACAACTCGATTCCCCGTCATTCCACTTTAATTTTGCATATATTGCATGCAATGCAAAAAAAAAAAAAAAAAAAAAATTAGGGGAAAAAAAAAACAAAACTCCGACACCTATTTCGTGTGTGTGTATATGTGTGTGTGTGGGGGGGGGGGGGGCTTTTCATGGAAAAGCCGCTTTCTTTCATATAAAATATATGACCCTTCTTATATGGGGTCAATGTTTTCTAGGGTGGGGGGGACATCGATCTGCGCATG